AAGTAACCCATCTCTTTCTCATTCAATTTTGTAGCAGACCATCTAAACAATACTCTACAACAAATCAAAAACTAACTAGTACTTCTATAATAACTCTGACTCCCCAAAGCCTAGAAATACAGCAATATAATGAAACACTAATTTAGCTAAAAAGTATTCAAAATACACTGTATCAAGCACACAACATCGAAAATAATACCCAGAAAAAAGCAACTATTCAATCATACGTACTGCGCCATTACAATAATTTTGCCAACAATACAACCCTGATGATAAATAGCATACTAAAACAAACATATACTCCCATTTCATACAATAATATCACTACCCCAACTGATATTGTAACTAATCCTAATGAAATCAAAGAAGCAACAAGAAAACATTTCTACAACTAGACCAAATCCAACCTACCCAACCCCTTATTCTGGACAGAATAGGAAAGCTACTACTAACTACTCAGCAATATTCCACCTAATACCTTCCAGTCCCTATTAAGCCCCATAACTTGTGAATAGGTTCAAACAATAATCAATAATGCACCTCAAAAAAAAGCAACCAGCTTCTCTCTTATATCCAATAAGATGCTAAAAAAGCTTCCCCAACACACAATTAAACAACTAACACAAATCTTCAACGCCTACCTCAACCTTCAAAGTATACTACAGCTATGGCATAAAGGTCTAATATGGTCTATTACTAAGAAAGGATACCTACCAGGTGACCTAAGCAAAACAAGACCCATCATGTTAATCGAACACTCACGAAAAATATTTACAAAAATATTAACCAACCGCCTCAACCAAATATTAATCAAACACAATATATTAAACCCAGCAAACTATGTAGCACTCCCACATACCTCTACTCTGCAACCCATCCAACAAATCACGCATATCTTGGAAAATGCCCATACACAAAACAAAGAACTCTGGATACTTTCTTAGAACATGTCGAAAGCCTATGACACTATATACATTTCTCTGCTTTAGAAAGCACTTGAGCATATTCATATTCTCCAAGGATTCATCTAACTACTTACCGATATTCTTGCATACTGACAAAACCAAGTCATCACTTCCCTTGAAAAAACACGACCCTACCCTGTCAAAGATGGACTCGACCAAGGTGAAACTATCTCACCCATCCTGTGGCAAATATATTACAACCTTCTAATCCATCGAATAACTTCTACAGCACTTGGCTACTCAATGACAACACACTCTATTATAATACAAACAGTAAAGCAGACATCAACCACAGTTATTGTATACATAGACGACACCACCTGGATTGCCGATAGTAGAATGTTACTTAAAACCATCTTATCTATTGCTTCATCCTTCTACACCTTTGCCCAAATTATTGTCAACCCTAATAAGTCAATACTCTTACACAACAACATCTCTGACTCACTCCCAATAACCTTCCAAAACCAACCTATATACAACCTCACCTCCAAAGATACCTTCTGATTCCTTGGAACTTACATATGCCACCCCACAACAATAGACTGATTATCTAAAAACTAAAGCACGAACTAAACCAAGAATTAAACAAGCTATGCCACTCTCTCATTACTGAAAAACAAACCATCTATATCATAAATACAGTCTTACTCGCTTGTCTACGTTACCGATTATTAAACACTTACTTAACCACTGTCAAGGTATCCAACTTTACTAAATACTGCATTGCTATTATCAAAACAAAAGCAACGATATCCTGCTCTCTACCCAATTCAACTCTTTACCTACCTTATTTATATGTACTAACAGACATCAACCAACTACAACAAGCCTACCATGCATCTATCCTTGAAAACTTATTAAACTCGACCCTCTCCCTATTAACCTTTAATATTCATATTTAGCAACTACAAAATGACATCTTCTCTAATCAGTCAATCTTGATACACACACCTCAATTCTCTACAAAAGAAATTAAAACCTTTACTGCACACTTAGTCAACAATATCTATTTACTCAATCTACAATTTTCCTATACAGCAAACCCCTGGCCAATACCCCTCCAATTACCAGACCACTCCATTAATACTATCTTAACTTATATAAATAAACCCGCATATATTAAAGCAAAACTCAATCACCACAAAATAAGCAACATCGAACAATTTACAAACTATGATAACTCAGAACTACTAGATTGGACAAACTTCCACCACAACATCAGTAAAATTCCACATAGAAGAACTCCAAAGTGGTTTACACATATTCACAAACTATTACAAGCCACAGCTACAAATATATTTGTTCTAACACAATCTAACCTATATATTTGGAAAACTCATTCTAACAAACAGTACAACAAATGTTGGATTATATCCTCACATCTCACAAGCAGAAGAACAATGTCTTATAGAGACAACTTACTTAAAATACAACATTGGAACCTCAACAATTATAATCTCCTAACTCGCTGCCCAGGTTGTGCATTACATAACCCAACTACTAAAACAAAAAACTGCACCTTCTGGTTCTCCAATAGCAACATTACTAAAATCCAAGTCTACTCAAAAAAGTATTGGCATAGAAATATAACAACCTTTCATAACCTATGCCCAATTCAAATACCACACAGAATACTATACCGTTATATCTCCCACACTCACCGAATATCCTTTGAACTAGCCCAGTCTGTTACCAGTCATACTGAAACCTTTTGGAAATACTATCTCAACTTATCTACAACAAACAATATTCAAGCAGAAATAACCTTTACAGTACAAAAAAACACCCATACTAGTATCCCAACTGCAATTATTCATCTCCTATTTAACAAAAACACTCACTCATCCAATCTGATCAACCTTACCATCCAAAACAGAACCTGGCCCAATATTAACAAAATTGCACTCACAAGCCTCTTCTTACTTATAACTTTAGCCCCCAGCAATGCTCACATCACACTCAACACAAACTCCCGACACATCATTAAATCCATTTCTTAACTTATAAATATAACAACACTACTCATAGAAGACCTCCAAAAAATGAATAACTATGCCTACTTCCTGCTTATATGGAAAGCAATCCTTGCAAAATCAATCCAAATTAGCACCAACTATATCTGCTCTTCAAGAAAAATAAATAAACAAACAAAGGCTATCCAAATTGAACTTGACCCCCTTCCTCACTCCTACAGCACATACATCCTCTCCCTTAATCAGCAATTTACCTCAGATAACTTAAAGACAACTGTAAAGAAAATACATATCGCTCAAAATATAGCCAATTGGCTTCAACAAAACCAAATTCAATAGCTGCTCCAAACATACCGAAACATACTATGGGGCACAATATTTGAATACATGCAATACAATGACAAACCCCTTCATCGATACACTAACCCCAAGATATCCAAAATAAAAAACTTCAAGTGCAAACTATTGATGAAAGAACTCCCAAACTTAGTAAACCTTCATTCAAGACACCCACATACCCACAAAAACCCAACTTGTCAACAATATCGACAAGCATCCGAAGACGACAACCACTGGATTACATGCACAACCAACCCCATTAACATTATGTCGATTATCAACTCAACCATTGACCACATTGCATTAAAATATAATGCAAATATTACTAACCGTAATTCCTTTATTCAAGCCTTCTATAACACCTACCTCAACAACAACCTCCCGATTGGATTTATCACTACTTCAATGCTTCTGCTCCTTCAACCGCCCAGTCAAGCCATGCAACTGGCACCTAAATTCTACAATAAGATAACCACCGAAATAAGAGAAAAAAATCTGGATATCTAGCCGGATCTCAACTTCATCAAGTAACTTAATACTGATCAACCTACCTATTTTAACAGCCACCAACATTCGATACACCAACCACACCCAAAACCTAACAAGTCAACATATTTACAACTGCTGGTTACTAAATTACATAGACTTATACACTTTTTCTCATTCTTGCCTCATTTCATAGTCTAGAGGTTTTTGACCTACCTAGCTAAGGTTCAGGTCTGAAGTAAAGTAGCTTAATCTTCATTTCCCCTAAAATTTATGTAAACAAAATTGTAAATTAACTTTGTATAACAAATAATAAAGGAATTGAGAAAAAAACCTTACTTAAAAAAAAAATAATAAAATAAAAATAAAAATAAAGAGGTATTTCACACTCTATACTATATACATCTAAAAATTATGAAATTTCTTGTTTGTTTAAATAATCAAAATTATTTCTGGTTTTAGAGAAGTTAGAATAGTAATGATTTAATCTGTCTATTTTTAAGAAGTCGCTATTATGCTAATATCTCTAAAACTAAAAATTATTTTGATTATTTTTAATAGTTAAAAAAAAGTTTGGCACAGCTCTTTTTGATAGATGTTTTGAATTTTTTAAATTTTTGAGCGAAGATATCTTGACATTCACCAAGCCAAATTCAATGTACATTTTTTATTTGAATTCTACAGATTCGTAGAATTTAAATAAAAAAAAGTTCATTGAATTTGGCTTGGTGGGTGCCAAGATATCTTTGCTCAAAGCTAAAAAAGTAAAAAAAAAAATTAAAAATGTTTCAGAGATTTCGCCATTTCGGTTTCGCCAGGTTTCGGAAGTTTCACCCATTTCAGAAATTTTGGATTTATTTTGTCTTTGAGAGCATTTTGGTTTCACCTTTAGGATTTTGAAAATAGATTTCACCGAAACACTAATTTGGTGGTCTCCTCTATAACACTTTTAAAAGCTCAGAATTTTTGGCTCAAGCTCAGATTGCATGACTGTATAATATAATAATAATATTTATGCTAGTATTCAAAATTTAAAAATTTACGTAATATCCTAATCAATGGTCAGCAACTTTTGCCTGCGTAAAAAATTCTCGATCATATGCAAGTAATATACAATACACCGATAACAATACAATAAAGTAAATTCATGAAATACACATGCAAAAGTAAACTGATTATGTATACGAAATCAGCCACTAGGGCCAGCTTTATTAATATTTAAAATAAAAAAAGTTCATAATAGTTGAAAATAAGTAAAAACACCATTTTGACTATTAACAGTTGCGTGAGAAATATAAAAACGTAGTTTGTTTATGGTCGAAAAGAGGATTAATTTATTGGCTGTTTCGGCCGCTTCTACTGTACTGGGCATGAATGCACTCGTTGAAGGTGCAACTATAATGCCAATAGCGGCACCTTCATATTGTTTTGAGTCACCTCATAGTGATCTCGTGATCTAAAAAATATTGAGTGATTTTTTATCTTAAAAAGTTATTTAAGAAGTGGTTATAAATAATTTACTTACTTATTCTATTATTTCCTGTCCAGTTCTTGTACTGGATTACAAATGTTATTCCAGCAACTTGACATAAAATGTTCCTTCCCTTATCGTTTTTTTCACTAAAGAATAAAATAGTAAAATATGAATATTTGCGTCATCACATGGCCGGAATAGTCAACGGTTGCATTTCCAATGCCAGAGTGTATTCCTATTTACCAACTTCCTAGTTTTCATGCTTTCTGATACCAGAAAGATCCTTTTTAACACAGAAAGAAACAAATCCTTTAGAAACATCGATAACTAATAGAGGAGAATGTTCACCATCATATGATAGTGGCTACGATGAACTTTAAATTCTCTATCAGATTTTATTACACCTAGGGATTGGAACCGTTTAACCGTTTAAAAATTGCTTCATAGTTCCAGGCAGAATTATGTTGGTCGTGGGCCGGAATTATTTTAATGCCGGCCAAATTAAACGGTTAAACGGTTAAACGATTAAACGATTAATTAAGAAAAATTTTAGGCGGTTCAATCCCTAATTACACCGATGTGGCAGCGCAACTTTGGAACATACTATGACTTGACAAAAACTCAATGAAAAAACTCACCCTACGCCTAAAGTGGAGGCAACTCATATTTAATAATTTTTTCGATTAGCTTTAGGGTTAGGGGCATCCTATATTAGAGTTAGGTTAGGTATTTGGCAATTATATATAAGCAAAAATCGCGGCCCAGAATATAGTTAAGGAATTTTGAAACAGAGTTGAGAATATTTAAAATTACAAGCTTGTACACATAGGTCTCAGCAAAATTTTATTCTCTTGAGAGAACAAAAACTATAAAAATTTTATTTTCTTAATGGTTTAGGTTCGATTTTTTTTTTTTTTTTTTTTTTTTTTACTAGCAGAAAGAATTCTGGAAGTGATATATTTTTGCTTAATAAAAATATTTCAATTTTCTTTTTATTTATTGAAGAAAAACGATGTTTTGATTTGTTGTGCTAAGGTGCTGTGATCTAGTTTATCCAATTAAAGACGGTCCAATAACAACTTGGAGAGAAAAAACCTAACATCTAACAATAATCTAGGCCTTAACCCTAACCTTAACGTTTAACCTTAGCTTTAAAATTAGAGGTAAATTTTTTCGATCGATTATATAATATATCATATAACATCTAAAATATGTAGCGGTGAATGCTAAATAAATTCTTACAAAAAATATACATACGAATGTATAAAATTTATTTGTTATTTTACATAATTTGTTATATATAGCGCATAATATGTGTATATTTTAAGCTAAAAACTTTGCATAATTGGCCATCCTCGCATCCTAATCCGTAACAATCCCTTTATAAAAAAATCTGGTAACCATAACGAATCAAAAAAACATTTGTTTTTAAGGGTAATCCCAAAACTCCAGGTCGAAATACATCAAAACTGAGCCGATATTAAAAATAGTAGCCAACCCATTACCTAATGAATATGGCTATGACTCCGTTAGCAAAATGTTCAATGATCTTGGACAACATTGGTCAATTCCGACACAGATGGGGATCTTATGTATGAGCTTGCGATAATGTCAACCTCACAAAATCATGATTTGTGCGAGGATTAATAGAAAATTTAATGACTATGAGGTATTGATATTAACGGGGTAGAGTGTATTTATTTCGCTATAAAAGATTTACAACAATAACGTATTACATATTGTTATTACCAGAATCGCTTCAAAACAATTTACTATTCTAATTATTAGATCTTTTCTTATCCGCAATATACTTCTTCCAATTCATAGTCTCAGGCTGCCACTCTCCATTATATATACATAGAATTTTCATCCTCTCATGATACTCAAGGTCTGGTAAAAGTTTTGGCGTGATTAAAAAATATCTAAAAAAAAAAAGATTGAAATATTTTAGAAATTATATTTAAGATTTATGGATGCAAAATTGTAAATAACTTACTGCGATGTATTAGGGCGACAAGCAGTTTGAACCATTTGACTATGTACCAATCGCTCATTACGAGGATCCATTCCTTGATTTATTTCATCAACAACTCTAAATGGAGTTTTAGACAGCTCTTGTAGTGCCATTAAGTACATTATTGTTGAAACAGATCGTTCCTATTTTTCAAAAAAAAAAAGGGTAAATAACGATTTTTTATGTAAAGTAAATCATTTTAAATCATTTATTCTAAGTATACATACACCGCCTGATTGCCTTTGACCTGTTAATGCCTGAAGTCTTTCATTATCTCTGTTTATAGATTCATTAGAACCAGCTCGTATATGTTATAATAAGCCCATTATTTGATGACAGGAAAATTTACTAACCTAAATTTCACCAAAATATCAATACCCCATTTGTCATAATCTTCGTGGGTACTGACACGAACCTCGCCAGCGCATCCAATACCTATCAGCCAAATTGATACAATAATAGCAAATTAACATCATATATGTAATAAAAATATTCATAATTAATTAATTAATTAGAAACACTTGCGGTCAAACGCATTGGAAAATCCTTGACTAATTTCTTTAACTAGAGAATTCAATCGTGGCTCCCATTTTTCCTATTAAATTCATACAATTAGAATTGACAAATGTAATACATATGAATTTCAGCAATGTGCTTCTTAAAACATACCCTCAAAGTTGCTAAGTCACTAGTCAATTTCGCCAATCGAGATGTTTTAATTGACAATCTAGACTTGATCGAATCGATCTAAAATAGATGCAAGGAGTCATTATCATCTCAATATTCGATATTTCTGGAAGCACTATTATTGCAACTTTATTAATAATTACCTCAGCTTTCCTTGTTTCATATGTTTCAATAACACGTGAATCAATTGCATAGTGTAAATCAGCTTTAGCACGTTCACTCGCAACCGCATCTTCAAGTTCTTCAAGTGTCATTCCCTGGCTAAGCTATCATAAAGAAACCGTTTATAAACATTAGAAGTTTAGCATCTTAATTATTTTATTATCATAGCACTTTATAATGCAGATATATTATGTGAAGTACCTCTTGTAATGCGCGACTAGTTTCTGAATCAATACCTTCAATTCCAGCATTCGCCTCGTTAAGTAAACGCCTTGCTTCTGATTTAGCACTATTAAATCTTACATCAGCTTTAATAATAATGATGAAGTCAGATAGTGTTTACGTAAAAGATCATGCAAAATAAGTTTAGAAGAATTTTACCTTCTGAAAACTTTATATGCGCCTGTTTTAATGCTTCATCTCTGTCTTGAGTTTGTCTTTCTAAAGCATTAAGATCTGATGAAGCTTGCATATGCTTTAATGTTGCCAAAATTCTCTCTGAAAATAGCTGCATGCATTCCTCCATAATTTTCTGTAATGCAAACGAATTTAATAATCATTATTGGCCGGGATTAAATAATATAGTAACATATTACAAACTTTAATTTGTATAACAAGTTGTCCTCGCTTTTTCGCAATTTTACTGAAGTCTCTTCTCAATGCATTTTCTTCGTCCATCATTGAAGCGGGTTGTTCGAGTTCACGTTGCAATTGGTCTCTTTTTGTACCTAAACCAAATGTCGCCAAATAATTATAATGCATCTCACAGAAATAACATGTTAATATGATAATTTACCAAGTCTAACTTTCAACCTTTCAAATTCTTTTAAAGCGAGTTGATTTTTGCGTTTTTCTTCGTTGATTGTATTCTTAACAGAGTTAAAAAATTTTTAATACAAAAAGACAAATTCACAAGTTCAGAAAATGATAAATCATTACCCGTTCACCGTACAACAAATCAATGGACTTGTTAAGATTCCCATACTCTTTCCTTAGGCCAGTGAGAGATTGATCAAATTGATTTAACTTTATCTGGCATTCTTGGAGTTGTTTTTCAAGTTCATGTTTTTCTTCGATGTTCACTAGAATTTAAATGAGTCATAAATATTTTCTAAAACAACATAATGTAAACATGTAATGAATAAGTGAAGCGCACTCGTAGCAGTGAAGAACTTTGATGGCCTTATTCTATTAGTGAGGACTTGCGAAAACTTTTGACCATATTTCGAAAACGAAACCGAATAAGACGTTTCTCCGGCATAATATTTAAAAAAGGCTCTATTGCCCTTAATAATATCATGATTGATATCCGACTCATTCCTCGCCAATGGCTTTAGGATTTGATTGATTAGAAAGGTTAAGGTTTCAATAAATGAAATAAATGACACGCACTAATAAGAAATACCATACTCACAATTGCATGCAATTTAGACATATCGCAAAGTGCTGCTTGCAGTCGCGGCGGTGCTTCTATTAAATCCAAAAGGTAACTTACAAAGCCATAAGATCTAAGCTAGAGATAGATGGTATTTATTTAAAATAGCACTCGTATAGAACATTAAGAAACGTTTACAAACGTTACCTGTTGGTGTGGTATGGGTGGTGGAAATGAATCCATTGTTGCTCTGGGGAAAAAAACATTTATTTTCATGCGGCGATTATCGCAAAGTTCTCTTGTAATTGTGTGGTAATCTTGTTCCATTTCACATACGAATATCTATAAAAACAATTAATAAATTACCTTTATTGATGATATATGTAGAATTTTTATTTTACCTTATTAACATTTCCTAGCGCGTTCTCTATTGCGTCAGCATATTGCATATCTTTAATATTTATCTCCATACAAACTGGCCCAAAAACGCGTCCACACAATTTATCCTGGTTTTGTTGCAACCATTCATAAGCTCGAAAAGTATCATAGTCAACGCGACGAATGCTTTCGAGGCGACGTCTTTTTACGTCATCAAGCTCTTTAAGTCTTAATATAATAATAGTTATCCCGTGTATCATCCAATCATCCAAATAATTCATAAAATTAAATATAAAATTTTATTTACTGTTGCTTTATTATTTGTATCTCACGATCAACATTACTGGCCGCTAAATTAATTTCGTCTTGGTTAAACTTATTATCGTTCAGCTGCGATTGTAATTCTCTTGAACGACGTGCGACATCATCCTAAACAGTGATATAATTTTAATTAAAGATCTATGTTACTACTTAAAACGAAAGTTTTAAAATGAATACCATTTTTAGCCGAATATCAGAGTCATCACTTCTTAAAGGTGGAGAACTAGTTCTTTCTTCCAATTCGGCGATTTCATTACGAAGTTGAGCAATACGATTTTTTCTTGTTCTTTCTTTTTTTTTGAGATCTGCTAAATCCTTTCGAATATTTTCACTTGCTGCTTCCTTTAATAAATGTGCAATTAATTTTAACATTTTTAACGCGTTGGATATTATTTATAAGCTAAATTAAACCAACCGATTGCTCTAATTTATTTGCAGTTTCCTCCATTTTTCGTTTTTTTGTGTTATACATTTCAGTGCATCTTTTTTTCTCTTTAGCAGCTCGTGATGCTAATTCTTCGAGCTCACTTTTTTACCAATGAAAATTAAAACAATTACAAAAAAAAACTAGAAATAGACAGTTTTTGCACTAAATACCCTTTTCTAGCATCCGCAGGTTCATTCTCTTTAGCAAGATTTTGGTATTCTAAGTGTGCTTCCGCACGTTTCTGCTTTGCTACATCATACATATGTTTTGCAACACCGTAACGGGCGAAAGGGATACGCAGTTCATATAATCGAATCTGAATAAATAAATACATTAAATACGTATTAATGGTAATCTTATTAAACCCTAAAGTGTAATTACTTACCCGTTTTAATATAGCTTCCCTTTCTCTGAAGCGTGTTACATCTTTTTCCAGAACTGAATTTCTCTTTTCGAGATTTTCGATCTGCTCACTATCAGTCCTTGTTGACTGAATTTTGCATCCAATGGATAATTAGAATAAACCCAACTTAAAATTAGAACATAAAATATTAAATATTTATTACTGTTGTGAGAGATTTTTTTTCTTCTCTTAACTGAACAAGAGTATCGTGCCATTCAATTAACTCTTTTTCACCAACTGCCTTCTGAGTTTGCACAAGTAACTCCGGTGGTGTCATCTAGTTAAAATTAATGTTGGCACGTTAATCATTGTATATTAAGCAAATCTCCAATAGGAAGACTAGTGAAATATACCTGCGCAAACTCGCACACTTTATCTTGAGGAAGAAATTGACTGTGTTTTCGTTTATATATAAAAAGAGGATAATAATTAATTCAGTAGGTCATTTAGTTTTTGCGACTACATGTATTTTCTTTGCAGATATATAAAGAAAAAATATATAGCCGTCAAAGGCATGCAAAAAATGTATAATAATCGCGGTAGTAAAAAACTTGCCAAAGATTGTCAACTTGAATATTAAGCGAATTTACTTTATTAGAAACTTCACGATGAGTTGCAGGTTGTCCTATAAAGATTTAAATAGATAAAAGACAAAACTCTTGATTTTTGCCAATCCAAAAGAGAATAAAAAATATATATATATTCACCATTTAGTTTCCATTGAGACATATTATTAGACTTTCGAATCATTCGCGTAATTACAACATTTCTACCTTTACTCTTTAATTCAATTTCTATTGATGCGCGCTCTTGACCATGTTTAACAAAATCTGAAATCTCTTTTGCACGTCCCAGAAGCTTTGGTCGCAAAAATTAGTAATCAAGACGCAAATTAAAAAATAAATTAAATTGATGAAAATTATAATAAGACTTTAAGATTTACTGATGTATTCCATCCAAGGCCTAGAGCAATCGCGCACACGATTGTACTTTTTCCAGTTCCATTAGGGCCAATGATCATATTAAGATTAGGTCCCGGAAAAAACTCTACAGAATCGTACGTGACGAAATTCTTTAGACACACTCGAACAATAGAGCCAATTTGGAACCTGTTAGAGGAAGTATAAATCATTTATTTAAAGTATCAACCGGAAAATAACTGCCATAAAAAAATTTTTAACTTTTATCCAAGTTTTTGAAGCCCTTATCGAAAAGTTTCTTTATTATACAGGTAATAAAAAAAACTTTAAAAGAAAAAGCGTAAGTAACTCACTCGTCATATGCCTTTTGTTTTGCATGTTTCTCAGTGTTAGAACTACGCCTCGAAGAAGAGGCAACAGAAATTTCTTGACTTATCCTTTCGTCAAGCTTAATCCTTTTAACGCCCTTTTCTAGAGTATTCTCGCCCTCGCTGAGGGAATCTTCACCTACAGAATGCTGCCTAGACAAAGACTCAGTTTCAAGAATCTCTTTTCCTTTCAATCTAGATCTCCTTGACATTATTTCAAGAAACGCGAACTTTACGCAGTTCTTCAAAAGTGGATGAATAAGCTTAAATATGAAATCGTTGTATCACTAGGATTGCTAAATATGGTTCATGATTCATTGTTCCCCTTCCATCGAAAAAGCTTATATAATTATATAATTATCTAGTTTTTTACTATATTGTGTTCAATCGAAATATATAGTTCATAAAAGTGCAAATGTCAAGTTTACCACGTTCATACGATATAATTTGGTCACCACATGAAGGGACAAACCAATTTATAATCGGATCAAATAGCGATTTGCGTTTATACGAATTAATTCCACCAAAGGTACAAAACATTTTATTTTTATTTTTTCGGTTCGACTATTTGTGCTAACAAATTTGCGAATTTAAATTACTGATGTCTTTATGTGTTATATTTATTCATAATAGAGACTAGATGGTAAAACCATTGTGAGAAGGGTAACTGCATACACAGATTCCTCATCGATGAAGGATTCATCGTTGATGAAGGTAAATGTCAATTTAAATTTTTACGAAAAAATATTAAAGTCCTTTGCTAATCATCTTGGATCCTAGTGTTTAGCATGGTCACCTGATCCTAGTTATCAAAGTCTGATTGCGATCAGTTCACAAGCTTCACAAACCGGAAAAATAGTTCTGGTGAATCTTCACGAAGGAGAAGCTGGGGAAGCACCATCAAATGATTTTAGCGTATCATCTGATATATCTTCAGTGTATCAACCACAGCCATACATCACTCTCAACCTTAGAAATTCAAAATGCAATGCTTTATCATTCTCGCCGGAAGAACCACGCCTCCTAGCGGCTGGTTTAGAAAGGACGAGAAAGGATTATGGCTTGTTGATTTGGGATGTTGAACAGCCAAGGTACGATATTCTGGCTGACCAGAGTAAGCAAATTCTCACACAAAAATTGTCAACTGAAACGCTTAGTAGGACTGGAAGCATCAGTGGACGAAGCGATCGAAGTATACATAATGAACTTGGATATGATGGCTATCCGTCATTTCCATTGGGTGAGTTATTAAGAGAAAACGATTTGTTGAATACAATCACAGGATGATTAATATCGTTTACTCCTAGAACCATCTAAATCAGTTTATGAAACATCGCGCTTTGCACCCACATCCAGGTAAATATGATCTCTTATAGTTTTATGGTGCTCTTTTCAAATAATATACTTCATTGATTTTCAAATATTATAATTTACTTATTTTTTATCATAAATTTGTGTATAAAGCCACGTACGAAATGATGAAATAAAACCTACTTACCAATATGGTTTAGATGAATCTGTCAATTCATGTTCTTGGTTCCCATCAAATCGAAGGCTAGTAGCTGGAATGTCGATGAAAAATTTAAGAATTTATGATTTAAGAAGTATTTATTTGTTAGTGGATTATATATAAAGCTACTTATTATATTTTGATGGGTAATATAATTTTCTTTTACATGGTTAAAGAGGACAATTATGTACAATGTACAAACACTAAATCTGTTCATGGGGTAAATGTGGACCCATTTAATGAAAATCGGGTTGCCAGCTTTGAAGAGAGCTATATCCATCTATGGGACTTACGCAAATTCGCAGAGTCAATATCCTTTATTTTCCATACAAAATGATCATAACATTCATATCATCTTTTTTAATGCGGTATATATCACTTTAACGTCGTATTATTTTTCATACGTTCTAAGCATACCCACCGATTCGAAACCTGTTCGAATATCCTTTTCCAAAGCACGTTATGGCATATTGGCATCATTAGAAAAAGATTCAAGTCATTTAACGTTATATGATATTCAAGAAAGTACATTTAAATTACGACAATCCTCAACGATAAATCGAAATTCACCTTTAGAAAGCTTCGATCCTCATACAAATTTAACTGATGGATTCTCAGCTGGCATCGCTGTAGGAGGTAATAGTACTCCCATGAGCGAGAAAAATATTATTTTGGGTGCTTCTGTAACAGTCTCAAACAAAACAGACGAAGAATTTGATATACCAGTTCTATGGAAATCTAGAAAATGTATGTCGCAAGATATTTATCAATTTTTAAGGGAAATGATATATGTATGACTTTTGTTAGAAAAATGACCTCTGATACTATTTACATTTTATTGATAAAATTTAAATTGGTTAGCCATCTAATGATTCAATTTGAATAAACTTTTTTTCATTTCATAGATTTAATGAGCTTTATGAAATAGGAAAAAAAGTTTATTCGAATTTGATCATTGGATGGCTAACAAAATTAAGTTTAATTAATAAATATACATAATCCCAGAGATCATTTTCCTAGTAAAAGCCCTACATAACATCTCTTATATGAAATTGTTCAATCACAGCTCCCTTTAGAGGAGCAAATTTCGGTGATATCCCTAATTGTGGTTACGCTATTCTCTTTATCATTTTTTGATTTACTTACAATTCATTAATCTTTATCAAGCGCGTCGATGTTCAAAGAATATTTCGTCCTTTTCGTGGATAACGACTTTTTCAACACCAACTTCCCATCGATTAATATCAGTCAATAAAGACGGTGTGTACAATTTAGTGACACTGGAAGAAGCCCCACAATTTTGTTGGAGCCCTGTAGGGAATATGGTTGTCTTTTATCCCAAAGGTTTTAGAACTTTTGACATAGATGAAATTCATGGTACCATAGAAGAATCTAATTCTAAACGTAGTGATTCACATAACGTGAAAAGTCAGGGACATCCAAACATCGGGGGAACTGGACATAAGCATCACGTTTCTTTGGATCTCAGACACGATCATGATCACGATAGCGGGAATAGAACTCCTCGGCCTGGTGATATTAACAATTCCAAAGATGCTCATTTATTTGGAAGGCAATTAAAAGGAATTATCCTGAATCAGCAGCATAGATCTTCAGAAGGTTTATTAACCTCAATAAGTGGTGATAGTGATCATGGTCTATCACCACCGCTGAAATTGATACGCGAAGATATTTCAGTTGTTATGCGTAAAAGAGCTAAACGGGGCTATTCTATGCTTTGCACAGCAAATGAAGAACTTGTGAGGGATTCACCAAAATTAAAGTCATTATGGAATTGGATAGCCCAAGCCGAACTACTTTCCGAAGGGAAAGCTACCATTGGAAATGTAGATTTTAGTTTTCAAGGAGTTTATTCAATATGGACAGCTTCAGTGCCCATTAGTAAAAAACAATCTCCGATATCAACACCTAAAACATCATCTCCTAGATCTACACCCGAGAAAGTCGAGCAGGGGCTTGTTGATGATAATGAAATTCCTATTGTTCCCACTTCAAAGTTATCTCAACGGAAGTTAGCACTGGCAATGTGCGGTTGGGACTTTGGAAAGAAAGAATTGGAAAATGTTATTCGAGAGTCAGTTATAGACTATTTGTTAATTATATTATTTAACCTATCATAATAATCTAACACAATTATTTTATTTAGATTGGAAAATGCAAATAATTATGAAAAAGCTGCAGGAATCGCATTGTTCCATGGTAATACTGAAAGAGCTATAACTGCATTAAATAATAGTAAAGGTACATAAATAAAACATATATCTTAATACTTAAAAATATTTTTCTTATGCTTACCATGTTTTCTTATGAATCTTAGTTGAACGTTTGGAATTGATATCGGCTACATTGGCTGCCTTTAATGACCACAGTCATTCAAATCAAAAAAACACTCTTTTGCGTAAAATGTGCAATAAACTAAGTAACGAATTACGTGAACCTTACCTAAGAGTAATTTTTTCATTTATTGCGTCCGGTAATTGGCTTTATGTATTACAACAACAAGAAGAACTTGCATTGCTCGATAGAGTTTGTATTGCGTTGAGATTCTTGGATGATGATGAACTCTCTACATACTTATCTGATACCGCCAACAAGGTTAAAGCTGACGGTGATATCGAGGGAATAATCTTAACTGGCTTGACATCAGATGGCGTGACATTATTTGAGAAATATGTAGACAACACGGGCGATGTCCAAACTGCAAGTTTAGCGATGAGTTTTTGCGTTCCACGGAAATTTAAAGATGACAGAGTCGCTGACTGGATCGAGAAGTAAATGATTCTTATATTTTATTAAAATATTTCTACCCGTTATATTACTAAGTGATATTCGATGCGTTTATTATAAATTAGCTATCGTTTATTATTAGACAAATGGGAAATGTTTCGTTCTCGCACATTATTCGATATTGCACGCGGTAAACATATGGGCACTTCGCCTTCAGCTGCCGAAAATATACCACCTCAAGTATACGTTCGATGTAATTTCTGCAGTCAAAGTATTGCGCATAACCTATGTATACCTGGAAAGAATAGACGGGTTACCTTACCTGCTTCATATCATTTGACTCCGGGAGGAATGTTGCCCAAACAAAAGGTACTCAGAAGACATTTTATTTGCCAGATCTGAAAAGTTGGCTAATTGCTAATTTTCATTATAGACTACTTGTTGTCCCGTTTGTTTTAAGTCTTTGCCCCGATGTTCTATATGTTTATTAAATCTGGGAACACCAACAGACCACTTAAGAGAAGTAATAGCAAAAAATGGGTCAACTAACGATAGTGAGTCATTTTAAATTAAATACATTAAGATTTATTTACTTCTATATGATTCTGAACGTTTTTATATTTTGTAGTTAAGGGATCTGGATTTGACCTTTGGTTTACATGGTGTCAATCATGTAGGCATGGAGGCCATGCTTTACATATGTCCCAATGGTTTGAAAAACATAAAATTTGCCCTGTTAGTGAATGTCCTTGTGAATGTCCTCGTGAACGTTAAATTTTTAAGCTTACTATTGTATTATATTGTAATTATATTTATCAAAGTTGTAAATATATTAATTAATTATTGTTATGACTATTATAAATTAATCTATTAAATTTTATTAGTGAATGACTTTAATTTACTAGCTTGTTTTTGATAGTTTTACATATCGGCGGATTTACATCGTCTGATAAATAGAGGAACTATCGTTCATAATTTTGATAGATTTGCAGTTATTTGGTCAGATCTAGAACAAAAAAAAATTTTTTTTATATTTGAAAACATAATACCCTGCCTTACTATTTGTTGTTCATGCCTACCTTCATTATAATTTCCCACGAGATAATATCATGACCGGGAATCTTCCATGGGAAGATTCCCGGTCACAAATGATCACACGAAAAATTATAATAAAGGTAGGCATGAACAACGTAAGGCAGGGTATTATTCATGAATTTCCTGTGAGGAGTTAAAAATCATAACAGAGATTCCAATGATCATATGATGCAGATGCCCTTCGGGCCATCTGTATCCTATGTTCATCGAGAATCTCTGTTGTAATTTTTAAGCTCCCAGGAAATTAATAATACAAATTTTTAGCAAAATACTGAACATTAATTTTTTTAAAAACTTTAAACGTATTTAAAAAAGTATTTAAGCTTTTGATTATTGTTTTTATAATATTTAATATATAGCATTTGAATAAAAATATAAATTAAAAAATTTTAGTTATATTAAAGTTAAAATTCTAAGTAAATTATTTTAATTAATAGTTAAGTTTTGATATAAAAATTTGATTAAAATTTTTTAGTTTAATTATTAAAAATATTAGTTTTATTTGGTTTAAAGTATAGTTTAAACAAATTTTTAAATATTAAAAAATATATAAAGTTTTTTAGTTTATTTTTATTTTTATTTTTTTTAAATTTGGCAATCCTGCTTTTATTATGTGAGAGATACATATTATTTATACAAAGTATTAAGCTAAAGCTTTTAACCTCCCTCCTTCTCAATAAAAGCTTACTCGGCTGCTCTAAGGTGCCCAAATGCAATCTGCTGCAGCAACTCTTTTCCTCACTTCTGGCTTTCAACTTTCTAAAAGTATACCTATTAGATTCTAGAACAGTAGTTGCTAGCCTTGTCAAGACTACCTACTTTCTTTTCTAATTTTTTCTTCTTCTCAAGAGGCATGAGACAAAAGGGGGAAATTTCATAAAAAGAAGTATAATGAAAACGAAAGAAAAAGAAAAAACAAAAAAAACAGAAAAAAAAGCAAGAAAAAAAAAAATACAGATGTTAAAAAAAGAAAATAGAATAAAAAGAAAAACAGCATTGATAGCACATTTATGCCTATGCCAAGGCCTAAAAAATTATATATTAATTGCAACTAATCAATATATCTTGCTTGTAAAGTTTTACTTT